AATTGGGCTTATAATATATCGTTGGAAAGCTCTTGTCAAGCCCCATCCAACTACACTACTATTAGACCCATATTATGGACAAACAAAACTGGATTGGCTGTTTTATAAAATAAGTTTTCAAAAACAAAGAGAAGAGAAAAGAAATTAAAACTTTCCGCAACACTAGACTTTCCACACTTTCACTTTATTCGATTATGATTCGACGTGAAAGGTACTCATCACTGGGTTTGGTTTTGGGGAGACACAAATGGGTTTCTACAGTATTACTTCTACAATCGCGAAGATAACAAAGTGTTTGTTGCTCGCGATGGTGTCTTTCTAGAAAAGGAATTTCTGTCTAGAAAGCCAAGTGGGAGTAAAGTATTACTTCTACAATCTTCAAGGAGTTGGAGAGAATATTTCTATTGTTGCTCCTACCCCACGTAGGTCTGCCAGAATCAGAAACAAACAGTTTGTTGAGGTTCTGATAACTGAGGATTCTGAAATCTTCTTATTGGAGAATGAAGAACCTACAACCTACAAGCAAGCTTTGGCGAGCCCCAACTCAGATAAATGGCTTGAGGCCATGAAGTCCGAAATGGAATCAATGTCTGAAAATGAAGTGTGGACCCTAGTTGACTTGCCTGATGGGGTAAAACCTATTGGTTGCAAATGGGTTTACAAAATCAAAACAGACAAGGATGGAAATGCCTATATCCATAAAGCAAGACTGGTTGCGAAAGGATACAGACAAATTCATGGTATTGACTATGATGAAACCTTTTCCCCAGTAGCCATGCTTAAGTCCATTCGGATTCTTCTAGCGATTGCTGCATTTTTCGATTACGAAATTTGTCAGATGGATGTCAAAACCGCCTTCTTGAATGGGTTCTTGGCGGAGGAAGTGTACATGACACAACCTGAGGGTTTTGAAGATCCAGAAAATCCTAGTAAGGTATGCAAACTTCAGAAATCCATTTATGGATTGAAGCAAGCATCCAGGAGTTGGAATCTTCGTTTTGATGAGGCAATCAAACAGTTTGATTTTATCAAAAGTGAAGAGGAACCTTGTGTATACAAGAAGTCTAGTGGGAACAGCATAGTTTTCCTAGTCTTGTATGTAGATGACATACTGCTTATGGGAAATGACATACCAATGCTTGAGTCAGTCAAGGAATGGTTGAAGAGTTGTTTTTCCATGAAGGACTTGGGCAACGCCGAGTACATTTTGGGAATCAAGATCCATCGAGACAGGTCTCGAAGGATGATTGGACTAAGTCAAGAGACTTATATTGATAAGGTTCTTGACAGGTTTGAGATGACAAACTCTAAGAGAGGATTTCTCCCCATGTCTCATGGCATTACGCTCAGTAAATCTCAATGTCCGGTTATGCCGGATGAGATGAGACGTATGGCTATCACTCTTTATGCTTTTGCAATAGGATCGATAATGTATGCCATGATTTGTACGAGGCCGGATGTTGCATTTGCTCTAAGCATGTGTAGCAGGTTTCAGGCAAATCCAGGTGATGCACAGTGGACAGCTGCCAAGAACATCCTTAAGTACTTGAGAAGAACGAAAGGAATGTTTCTAGTTTATGGTGCCAAAGATGAGTTGGTTGTAAAAGGTTATACGGATGCAAGTTTCCAAACAGACATGGATGACTTTAGATCACAGTCTGGGTACATTTTCTGTCTGAATGGAGGAGCAGTGAGCTAGAAGAGTTCGAAGCAAAGCACTGTCGCAGACTCTACAATAGAATCAGAATATTTGGCTGCAGTTGAAGCAGCTAAAGAAGCAGTTTGGATAAATAAATTCCTAACTGAGTTGGATATCGTACCAAGTGCTCAAAAGGGAATCGAATTGTATTGTGACAACAATGGCACCGTTGCTCAATCAAAGGAGCCTAGGTCACACTTCAAATCCAAACATGTTGAGAGGAAGTATCACCTCATTCGAGAAATCGTTAACAGAGGAAATGTGAAGATGTGCAAAGTTCATACGAATGAGAATATCGCTGATCCACTTACTAAACCCCTTCCACTACCTAAGCATGAGAAACATGCTAATGAAGCTGGATTGAAGAAAAATGATGTAATTAGAAGTTGTATTTATTTTTGGAGAAAAATAAGTTACATATGTAATACACTCATTTGCAGAATTATGTTTAATCAGAAATTTTATTATTTCTCTTATTTAATGATGGTTTTCAATATTAAATAAAATGTCCACAATAATTATGGATTGATGGGCTCATCAGGTTGATGACCTGGTGAATGAAACCCCACAGGTGAACAAAATCCATATATTATTTAAGTTCCTAGTTCAGAATCATTAAATTGGACATAAATGATTTCTAATAATGGACTAGCATGTAAGATTGATTGGATAGCGCAGTTTCATAGGCTATAGGAGCATAGTGAGGCTCGGTCAATCACATGGATATGCATGAATGATGCATGATCGAACTATAGACCTACTTTGAAGTTCAAGTATAGAGCTTCCGGATATATTAGTGGATTCCTTTTACATGAGTGGAACATTGATTTCATTCAGTGGATGTTATGGCTGTGGTACACTCAAACGTCTGCCCGTAACTGGAGATTATAAAGGATGTTTCCCGGTTATTTCAGAAATTAAGTGGGAGCTTTGGTTGCCACAATATTGGATTGAGTCTACCTATTTATTAGTAATGTGTCTTGGCCCCTTGAGGAGGGAGAATTCAGAAAAAATGCATGGTCGCGCTCAAATGAATTACATAGTAATCATTTGTTCTTTGAATCTCACTCAGTTTTTAAGAAAAGATTTGTAGACTAATATGATCACGACATGAGATGCAATCATATTGTCAAATCGACACACATTGACTTAAGGAATTTGAATATTGCGCACTTGTCTCAGACAAGTGGGAGATTGAAGGAGTTGTGTCTTCGTTAAGTGCAATTACTAGATATATCAAGAATCACTATTATGGAGATAATAAGTTCATTCTCTTGGGGCGTCATCATTTGTTGCTAGACTATGAGAGATGATCTTTGGGATAGTAAAATAGTCCAAATCCCGCTAGAATGGATCCTATGAGGTCACACACAAAGGTATTGGGTTAAGCAAGTAAGAGGCCCATTAATGGGCCTTATGAGCATTTAACTAATTATGAATAGGATTGGGCTAGTGTAGTTTGATTGTGATTAGGAATTGGGCTTGGATCATGGACTCTTATTTATGGATGTGATCAATAAATAAGATCCATGCCTAGGGTTGCAAATATACAGGAGTCACAATTAACTTACAGTGAATTGTGAATCAAGGCAACAAAATCCCAAAACCCTCATCTCTCTCTCTCTCTCTCATGGCACCCGTCTCCCCCTTTTGGACTTGCGGTCGGCCACCCCTGGTGGTGTTCTCGGTGGTTCGTGACTAGTTCGTTGCTCATACTTCTCCGTAGAAAGTCGATTGAAGAGTTCGATCGCGACTAACTAGCATTAGTGGAGGTCTTAATCCGTGCCCACTACTAGAAAACTGCTGTTTTTCGACGGAAAAAATCCCTCGAAAACACGTTGTTTTCCGTCGGAAAACCTGTTTCCGTCGGAAACTGTCGTCGGAGAACCCTTCGTAGGAAAATCAGCCTTTTCCGTCGGAAACACTTTTCCGACGAAAATTCCGACGGAATCCTTTCGTCGAAAGGTATTTTTGGGCACTAGAAAAGTCCGTCGGAAAGTTCCGACGAACACAAATCCGTCGGAAAATTCCGACGGAATTTCCGTCGAAAACTAATTAAAAGAAATTAAAAAAAAAAACAAGCCACGCCACCAGGGGCGCGGCGCATCACCACCTCAGAACACCACCAACCCTAAGCCCAAACCGCCACTCCCTAAACTAACCAAGATCCATCCACCACCACCACCAAACTCTAACCCAGACCCACCCAAATCACCCACTTATCATCATCAAACCCTAACCCAGATTCACCAACCACCACCACCTTACCCTAACCCAGATTCACCAACCACCAACCACCGCACCCTAACCCAGATTCACCAACCACCGCCACCGCAACCGCACCCTAACCCAGATCTTCCCAAACCCTAAACTCACCTAACCCAAACCCGCTAAACCCAAACCCAGATCAACCAAAATCCTAACCCACACCCTAACCGAACCCACACCCAATCCGACCCACCTAAAACCATCATCATGAACGACTAAACCAAACACCACAACACAAAAATTTAATAAAAAATTCAAAACATTAAAACGTACCTTAAAAATCGAATTAGCTTCAAATTTAACCTCGGACTTGGTTTACAAAGGTCAAATTCGACCATGAAAATTCTAGATCTAGCATTTTCATGGTCGAATTTGACCTTAAAACCATTAAAGTTATATAAGAACTCACCATTTTCATCTTTTACCCACCATAGAAAAAATCAGAGAGGAGAAGAAGACTAGGGGGTGTGAGAAGAGAGCGTGAGGAGAGAAAGGAGAGGAGAGAGAAAGAGAAGGCGTGAGATGAGAAGAGAAGAGAAGGGCGTGAGATGAGAAGAAAACTGAGAAGAGAAGAGGGAAGAGGAGAGAGGAGAGGAGGCGGTGAGAGAGGAGAGAGAAATGAGAAATGAAAGGGAGAGGGAATCTGATTTAATTAGGGTTTTGTGTGGTTTTTTTTTTTAATTCATAAATACGTCGGAAAGGGTTTAAATTCCGTCGGAAATTTCTGACGGATGTTCGATGGAAATAAAATCCGTCGGAAATTTTGCACTTTCCGACGGATTTTCATGTCCGTCGGAACCATTCCGTCGGAATTTGACTATTTTCTAGTAGTGGCCTGTGGACCAAGTAGAGGAATCACGTTTGAGGTTCTTTGTCTCCCTTGTTTTTGCTCGATTACTAGTGGAATCATGCTTCAAAGGTATTATTCTTACTCTTTATGTGTTATGCATGAGATCCTTGGTTAGGTGCTATATGAATATGATTCATGATTATTTCCACTGCGTAGTACCTATATTTCCCTACAAACACCACCATGCAACAACAACAAGAAGATGTTCCACGTCAGAGAAAACGAAGGGAAGTTATACCACGTAATCGTGAAGCAACACATGATCAGTTGGTTGTTGACTATTTCAGCGAACAACCATTGTATGGTGATGATAAGTTTCGACGTAGGTTTCGCATGCGGAAACCTCTATTTATGAAGATAGTGAACCAACTAAGTGAAACTGATCGATTTTTCCAGCAACATCCAGATGCTAGTATGCGTTTGGGTGCTTCTCCAATACAAAAGTGCACAGCGGCTATAAGGATGTTAGCATATGGTTGCGCAGCTGATCAAGTTGACGAGTACCTCAAGCTTAGGGAAACTACAGCTAGACATTGTATCACACACTTCGTTGACGGAGTGATTCGTGAATTCTCAGCTGAATACTTGAGGAAACCAACCCCTGAAGATATGAATCGCCTTCTAATAGAAGGAGATGAAAGAGGTTTTCCTGGTATGTTGGGAAGTATCGACTGCATGCATTGGGAGTGGAAAAATTGTCCGGCGGGGTGGAAAGGGATGTATCAAGGGCGATAAAAAACGACGACGGTTATCTTAGAAGCTATTGCATCTTGTGGTTTGTGGATATGGCATGCCTTTTTTGGAACACCTGGATCCTGCAACGATATAAATGTCCTTCAACGTTCATCCGTCTTTGACGACATTTTAAATGGTCGTGCTCCACAAATTCAGTTCACCGTCAATGGAAATACTTACAATCAGGGGTATTATCTCACAAATGGGATCTATCCAAATTGGGCAACATTTATAGATGCAATAACTGCACCGCAAACCCCTAAATAACGATTGTTTACTACCAAACAAGAGAGTATTAGAAAAGATGTAGAACGTGCATTTGTAGTGTTGCAAGCTCGATTTGCCATTATAAGACGTCCTGCTTTGGCATGGAGTGTCGAAATGTTGTGGAAAATTGTTATGGCGTGTATTATCATGCACAATATGATCGTGGAAGATGAGCGCGAAAGTTATCTTAACTATTGGGATCCTAATGAGTTTGCTACTGAACAACTAGAGTATTTAGCAGGAACTTCAAACCGAAGAGCAACGACTTTCACCGTAACCCCGCGCTACCAAAATCCCAATCTTACCACATTAATGGCAACACCAAAAAATCTCCACGATAAACAAAATCATATGTCACTTAAACAAGATTTGGTAGAACATTTGTGGGCAAAATTTGGGCATACTAGTAATCGTTAAGGAAAAAGGAGGATATTTACTTATTTGTCTTTAATTTCTTGTATTTGTTGTACTTTAGTGTATCAATTAGTGTTTTTATTCCTAATTCCGTGTGTTATTGTATCAAAATATTGGTAAAGTATGGTAATTTTTATTATGTATGCTAATTATGGAATACTAATTATTATTATTATTATTATTAATGTTGTTGTTATTATTATTATTAGATCTTATCAATAACAAATAATGAATAATAATATGGTGGGGCCATATTTATTGTATAAAATATATCAAGAGGATACCCTTTGATGTGGGAAAAATAAATGGAAGAGGATGAAAGAGAGAAAAGAGATAGTGGAAAATGAGGTGGATGAAAGAGAGTGTGAGGTGTCAAAATAGGGTAAGGAGAGAGAATGAATGAGAGGATAAAACCATCCTCTCCAATATTCATGCTCTTAGAAAAAGTGCAAACATAAAATTACAAACATAAAATTACAAAACCTATATCCCCTTTTATATCTAAAAAATCATTTGTTAAACACAACTTTTATTTTATAGTTATACGCCTATCAGTGGCGATTCAAGTATGGGTTCAGTGGGTTCAGCTGAACCCATACTAGACTCGAAAGAAAACGAATTGGTTTTTTTACAAAAGAAAATTGTAATAAATATTAAGCTTTGCGCATATATTGAGTATACAAATGTGCGTTGTAGTGGTGAAAGCCTTACCTTTTATGACAAAGGCCAAGTGTTCGAGACCCATCTCCCTTTTTTTCCTCCTTTTTTTGGGTTTTAACCTTTTCCCCAATTCCCAATTGTACTTGATTTGTTTATACTTTTCCCCTAATTCCCAATTATACTTGATGCTAGAGATTATTCGGTGCCACTGATGGGTTATGCCAAACTTTGCAAATTGCAAAGGGAGCAAGACATTGTCAATGCAATGTCATTTTTCACTATGAATACGGAACAATTTCAAACGATAAAGGATTATGGTTGAGAATATTTCATCGAGTTTAATTGTAATTTATTTAAATTTGTTTTGTTTTTGTTGTTGGTGTAATTGACATGTATTGTGCACACCTGAATTAGCAAAAGCAATTTTATTTTTATTTTTTTGAATTATAATATTTGATATCCTTGTATTTATTTGGAGAGTCCGAACCCATAACGAGCAATTCTTGGAATCGCCACTGACGCCTATACTATACTATATAAATCCTTAATTTGTGATAAAATGTACATATAGTAGTAAAATTTCAAAAACAAAATTGTAATTAACTTAAATATATATTTATATTAAATTGAAATAAAGTATTAGCTAGCTGAGGTATTTGAAAAAAAAAATAATAAGTGATGTTTTGAAGTAATTTCTATAACATCTATTATATGAACAAATTTATTTTTACTTTTATGGCAAAATCTAATAATACTCCATTTAAAAGATAATTAAAAAAGAGTTGAAATAATTATTTAGGTAAATGTATACAGAAAAATTATGAACACCAAATGAAAAAGAATATATATTTGTCATAAAGATAATATAAAAGATTTGGAATGATATTATTATAGAATCAAATATTAAAAAAAAAAATTAAAAAGGGAAGGGGATTTTAGAGGGGAAAAACAGCATTAGGATGTGACACATGTCACTCCCAGTGTCTGTTTTAGTGTTGAGTTATTGTTTGATTGATTGATTACCATAAAGTAAACATGGGCACGGGCCGTGCCGGCACGCGGGCGGCACGGGCTCGGCACGGTCGCCGGCTCGGCACGGCGGCCCACCAGTGGGCCGTGCCGTGAACACTTTTTGGAAATCGGCACGGGCACGACACGTAGCACGGTGGCCGGCACGTGGGTCGACACTCTGGCACGACCCGCCGGCACAGCACGAGGCACGGCCGGGCACGGCACGGCACGAGCCCGCCATATAATAAAATAATTTAATTATTTTGTATTATTAAATTATCGTACCGGCTACCGTCATATAATAAAATAAGTTATTCTTCAATTTTTTTGTTTTCGGATTATCGCACTCGTATTTTTTTTTTATTATATGCATTGTTGTTTTTTGCTAAATTAATAAAATTGTTTTTATTTGTTTATATAAACTTAAACATAATTATTAATTAGATAAATAATTTATATAACCTAAATTAAAATAAAGTTGTTCAAAAAATGTAAACAAATTATATTAACATTAACATAAACATAAATTAAACACATATATTAAGTTGTACTAAAAAATATATATATATCGTTTAATTCATTTTTTTCATTTATTTAAAAAAAATAAAATTAAAAAGGGTGGCACGATTTTGCCCACGGCCCGGCACGGCCCGCAGCGGCACGGCACGACCCGTTGCCCATGTTTACCACTAACCAAAAACTGTGAGTGTTTGGCAATGTAATGGTTAGGGTAGCTTTTAGTGGTGGAGGTAATATTTATGAAAAGTTAGTAATATTAACGGATTTGCCAATTCCAGTCATTTGAAAAAAAAAATTGCAAATTGCAACCAAAAAGTTCTCATAAATTGTAAACTGCAGCGTGATTCAACTTTTTCATCGGGTTACATGTCAAAAAACAAAAATCGTTAAGGTTTTAGAGGCCATTTTAGCCTTTATGAATCCGAATTGAGCTCGGAATTAGCAAAAAATAACGTAAGTGCGGAAACCTTAACTGAATATTTTTTGACACATAAATCGATGAAAAGTTGAATCATACGACAATTTATAAGAACTTTTAGGCTACAATTTGCAATTTTTTTAATGGCTGCAATTTTCAAAATACTAACTTTAAATGGCTGCAATTTGCAAATTTTCCAATATTAGCTTTTAAAGTTAGAAGTAGCTTTTGAGATAGTTGTTGAAAACTTAATCTATAATTTAAAAAAAAATATTAAATTTTGTATGTAACAGCTAATCAACGCTATTTTACCGAACACTTATACCTAAATTATTTATCTTTACAGCTAATAGCTTGTTGACAGCTAACAACTACCTTCACAGCCATATTTTGCCGAGCACGCCCCAAGTTTTGTGTCAAGCCTGTCAACCGTCTATGTTTAGTTATGGTGTGACCCGTGAGAGTGTATGACCATATTTTAAGGTTTTAAAAAAAGGTAAAATTGACAGGAATAATCCGAACTATTCACTATCTTCTCATTTTAATCTATACTAATCTTTAACTTAGAATAAACCAAAGTAGAGGGGGTAGTTTCTCATATTAGTCTGAGCAGCTTAATAACCCGCTAGACAGGTTAAATAACTTGTGTAGGACCCTTTTTTTTTAAAAAAAATTGCATTTACTCCTCCTCTACCGTTCATTTTTGTAACCATTTACTTCTTCAAAATCACCATCTTCGATTTCATATATTTGGTTCCTCCTTCCAAAATTAAACCATGCATGTCTGCTAGTACAAACTCATTCAGCCACTCATCTATCTCAAATTTCTCAACTCATTCATCAAAATTATGGCTTAATGTGTATTGTCAAAACGAGGTTCTAGCAAAGCATAGGTATTCAAAAATGGAGGAGTACATATTGGGAATCTGGGAAGCATATTTATAGACGTGGGAAGTTCCCAACAAATGTTTTTTTTTTCAGTTTTAATTATTTTGTTACATAAATTTAAATCTAAGGATGTGTGTGTTTGTGTTTTATTGAATTGTATTGTATGTTATTTTATTAGTCTGAAAATTGCAATTATTTCAAATGGGAGGAAGAGGTTATGCGAGATAAATTGAGGGAAAAACAAAAAAAATCGTTGATGAGCTTGTAATTGAACTTATGGTAAGGGAGAAATCATTATAAGAAGCTGAAGTGAAAGAACAAAAAATTTGAGCAAGAATTGGTGGAACTTAAAGCTACAGCTTCTGCACATGCGGGGGGGGGGGGGGGGAGAATGTTCGCCTCGTCTCGCCTCTACCCTCCAATAACATGAATTGCAATTGAATTTTAATAGAATACTAGAAGCAACAAAATACATAAGTGTAATCAAGTAGTGGAAAAAATGGAAATTTACAAAATTTAAAGACGAACTGTCATACATGCGAAATTGTTCTTTGATGAAGGCACGTTCATGGAGGAAACCCCAAGCTTCAGAAAAGGCATGAAAATGGTACTCTGTACTATAATTCCAGTGGTGAGATGAGTTAGGAAGAGAAATTGGGATTAAAAAAAATAAAAGTGGGGCCCACATATTTAATTTAACTTGTTTAGTACTCCGTAGGTTGCTAACTTACTTAAACTAATATGAGCAACTACCCCTATACTTTGGTTTATTCTAAGTTAAAGAATAGTTTGGATTAAAATGAGAAGATAATCAATAGCTTGAATTATTTTTGTTAATTTTTCCTTAATTGTGTACCTCTTGAAACTTTCAAGTGCAACGTATACTATGAAATTTGTAAAAAAACTTATAAGTAGTATATAATTACAGAGTCAATTCATCACCACATCCCTCCAAATCCCAAAAACTCAAATCTCATGTATTTGATTTTTTTTATACAAACCAATATCTACCCAAGTACCCATCCCACTACTTTATATATTTACTAGGTTAATCTCATGCGATGCAAGGTTTAAGTAATTACAAACTTACTGTATGTGTCCAAAATAAATATTTTAAGCAAAACATAATAAATCGTGATCGATCCCTTTAGCTTGATTGATTAAACTAAAAAATATTCTAATTAACTTTGTAGTTATAATTTTGTAAAATAATGTTAGCATTCGTTTTTTACTTATTATAGAAAATTTGAAGAATTAATAAAGAGGGAAAAATAATCTAAACTGTACTATCACTTATAAATTGTGTAATTAGCCATTTTAGTCATGAAAGCTTTTAGAAAAATGTATAGTTAATCTATAATTTTCAAGTATTAGCTTTAATTTGAAAAGGAAGAGAGAGAGAGAGAGAATGATATCACAAATAGTTTAGGAGGGAAAATTTTTTATAAGAAGGTGACACATGTACAATGGTGATATGATGTCAGGCGGTTATTACTTTAAGGCCATT